AAGACTCAAGGTTATTCATAAAGGATATTCATAATTCATTTCAGTAACCTGAATTTCAGTAACCAATTGGTTATTAATTTTCTCATAATTCACATAAGACTCAAGGTTATTCATAAAGGATATTCATAATTCATTTCAGTAACCTGAATTTCAGTAACCAATTGGTTATTAATTTTCTCATAATTCACATAAGACTCAAGGTTATTCATAAAGGATATTCATAATTCATTTCAGTAACCTGAATTTCAGTAACCAATTGGTTATTAATTTTCTCATAATTCACATAAGACTCAAGGTTATTCATAAAGGATATTCATAATTCATTTCAGTAACCTGAATTTCAGTAACCAATTGGTTATTAATTTTCTCATAATTCACATAAGACTCAAGGTTATTCATAAAGGATATTCATAATTCATTTCAGTAACCTGAATTTCAGTAACCAATTGGTTATTAATTTTCTCATAATTCACATAAGACTCAAGGTTATTCATAAAGGATATTCATAATTCATTTCAGTAACCTGAATTTCAGTAACCAATTGGTTATTAATTTTCTCATAATTCACATAAGACTCAAGGTTATTCATAAAGGATATTCATAATTCATTTCAGTAACCTGAATTTCAGTAACCAATTGGTTATTAATTTTCTCATAATTCACATAAGACTCAAGGTTATTCATAAAGGATATTCATAATTCATTTCAGTAACCTGAATTTCAGTAACCAATTGGTTATTAATTTTCTCATAATTCACATAAGACTCAAGGTTATTCATAAAGGATATTCATAATTCATTTCAGTAACCTGAATTTCAGTAACCAATTGGTTATTCATTTTCTTAAAATTCACACAAGATTCAAGGTTATTCATAAAGGATATTCATAATTCATTTCAGTAACCTGAATTTCAGTAACCAATTGGTTATTCATTTTCTCATAATTCACATAGGACTCAATGTTATTCATTTTCTTAAAATTCACACAAGTTTCAAGGTTATTCATAAAGGGTATTCATTTCAGTAACCTGAATTTCAGTAACCAATTGGTTATTCATTTTCTCATAATTCACATAACACTCGAGGTTATTCATAAAGGGTATTCATTTCAGTAACCTGATTTCTACTTCGTCTTTTAGACAAAGTATATATAATAAAGGGTATTCATTTCAGTAAACTGATTTCTCAACTTCGTCTTTGAGACAAAGTACATAAAGGGTATTCATTTTAGTAACCTGATTTCTCAACTTCGTCTTTTAGACAAAGTATATAAAGGGTATTCATTTTAGTAACCTGAAACTAATGAACCAGACCATGAAGGGGTACACAATTGCATGCATATACAAACACAGACATAGCTACATAAACACGGTTTTGAATAAGGTATTCTGCGGGTCATATGATACCAGCAAAACTGAGTAAGCAGATGCAGGAAGTGTTCACGTACCTATATGTGGAATTTGGATGAAAATAAAGAAGTACCAGATCGTATTAATATCGGCGTACCTCGACTACGTATAAGTATGTGAATTATCGCACCACTTCTCCATGGTCATAGAGAAGTCTCGTACGGGCCATTTTTTGTCCTCCAGTGTTACTTCCAAAGAAATATTATACCTAAGTATTGCATAGCTCTATTTTCCCAATCAATGCTAAACTGTTCTCTCTGGAGGTCTATATAGTACTAACCCGGGAAGAACCTGATTATCTAAGGTGTTTGATGGTCAAACTGGAAACACTTTTCTCGTATGCGACAGAGGAGAGGATTCAAAGCCCAGCACTAATGAGCCACAGCCATGCACAAAGGGTAAAATCACATGCACAACAGCGTCATCCATAAATTGCCTAAAGGTCTTTACAAGCCTATTTCTACTTTCCATGCAATTATTACACCACATAACAATTTAAAAACATTGCGTTGTTTATTATTTTTGGCTATATACTCGAGTTTGAATGCAATAAAAACAGATGCTAGACATCATATAACAAAGATAAGATATAGGAATGAGAATCTCGCTTAATCTGTTGTGATTGCCAGAAATAATTTTGATTACATAAACATAACATATATTGCTGATTGGAATTACGTGCGCTGGCTATATAGGTTCTGGCTATAAGTACTTATTAATACAATATAAAATACATATATAATCCTAGCATAAATGCATGCATTGAATACAAAGCCGTTTATATTGTTCTTGCTTATATACATGATATAGGCTACCTGATATCAACTATAGCCCCGTTTACAGTACGCTCAATTTTTGGTACGGCACGGATAAAATTGGTACCCGTACCACTTTTTTGGTTCTTGGACTACCTATTTAGGCAGTACGGGTACCAATTTCATCCGTGCCGTACCAAAAATTGAGCGTAGTGTAAACGGGGCTATACTAGTTCGGTATATAAATCCTCCTAAAAATACAGCCGAAACATGTCTATTAAACATTAAGACCCATTAAACAAGAATGAGAGTTAATGAGAGTTGCAAATGCATGATGCTCACGTCTGATCGCTAATTCTCGTCGCATCAACTTTGAGCTGGTTCACATTCTGATGAGAGTTTTGCTACTCATGGTAGTAATATTCCAAATCCGACTATGAGGACTGGACTACATTTCAAGTCCGCTCAATTTGATCAAAATGCGAGGACGTGAAATCTAGTCCAGTCCGAAGGATTTCAAATGACATCTCGTACGAATATATCACACTTAAGGTGGAGTTAAACGAAACAATTGCTGCAACTGGCAACAAAATCTGATTTCAACGCATGTTAAGTAGAAATGTCGTCACATGTTGCCTTGTGATTTGTAATTTATGCATGTAAACATTTCAATTAACATGCGTATAGAAATTAGATTTTGTTGCAAGTTGCAGCAATTTTGTTGCTCGAGTAACTCCAGCTTTAAAAGTGAGGTGAATTCACTTTGATCAAGTCCTAGGGCTGAATTCATTTTGATCCAGTCCTAAGACTGAATCAATGTACTTCACCAGGTATCCAGTATTATCATGTGAGAAAAATAAAGCAATATGGTTGGCTAATTTACTTATGAATTATTAATGATTTGAGATATGTCAACTCTCATGCAATTTTTCGCTTGCATACTCTTATCAACTCTTCTCCTCGCTTGACTAGGGCTAATGGCTCGTTCTAATTATATATAAGGTTGATTTTTATATACATTGTATCTAAAAAATTCAATATGGTTTGTTCTGAATTAAATGAACTACATGGTAGTCGATATTAACCAATATTAATATGGCAGGTAGCATGGGATTCGTTCAATCAGCGTTTTATATACTATGCTGATGGTCCGAACAACCTCAGATACATTGAAACTTATGGGAGCGAGCAAATAATGCTTCCATTACATGGGAACAATATGTCACTCTAATAACTCTCTTTATACTTGACCACCATGCCCTTTGCGAAAAATTCACATATAATTTCACACCTGAAATTTGATATGGAATTGGAACATTGCTCATTTCATATGACATTGGTTTCACATATTCTTTCACGTGTGAAATGAAAGGATCATATAGGGTGAAAATGTATCAGTTTCACATGTGAAATCAGTACTATTTCGTGTGTGGCATTGGAGCACTTCACATGTGGAAAAGCAATTTCACATGTGAAATCATACATGTGAAATTTTCGTAAGGATGTTTTGTACTGTACAGTTCCACTTAGTGAAGCATACAATTTGATTACATACAGACCACATTGTTATTACGATATTTCTGCAAACATTGCTTCGTTTCGTCAAAATTAAACCATGTGGGTCCAGGACCGTTTTGGTAAACCAGAGTATCTTCTTCGATAATCAGGATCCTGTTTGGCAAACCGCTGTAGGCCGTGCTGGCTTCGTTCTCCATCGTATCCACATACAGGGGGATAGTTGATGGGATCAATGAACGGAGTGTCTGTGAAGCCTCGATACGATCTTCAATAGAACTGTGGCTTCTGATAATGTAGTTGTTCTACATAGTACAGAAGAAAATAATTATAGGTTAAGAGCATGTTCCTTTCACCTCTGCGAGCCATGGAACAGGTTCTAATGGATGGTTCCAGCTATAGACTAAATTTTGATCCAGATAAGAAGAATAAAATCCATCACCACAGCTGGAAAGAACATGTTAAAATTATATGCTTGTGATGTTACTCTGAGTATATATCCACAAGCATCTTATTCACCTGAGTACATTACACCAACACAAGAAAATATCATGTTAAAATTAGTAAAATTGTAACTTTTGGGGTGGTGCATTTTTCCGTGTGTGTTACAAATTAATGCAAAATTTCGTAGGGCTATATTTTCCTCATTTTACACTGAACATTTCGCAACCAAACTTTGCAATTTTACTGATTTTAACATGCTCTTTCTCGCTGTGGTGTTGAATTTTGTTCTTCTTGCCTAGATCAAAATTTAGTATACAGCTGGAATCATCCATTCCTGCTCTGACTATAGCCTCTTCCATTCATTGCAAAAGTCAGATCGCATGCTCGAGTGCTTTCATCCAATCACAATGCTCGACAGTTTATTTTAATTCGATGCAAGTACTCGCAGCGATCTTGCAAGTCGGTTTTTATACGATGATCAAGTGCGGAAGAGAGCCTTAATTAATATTTTTATTATGATTTAGGCTTATTCACACGCAAACGGTCTTCCAGTTTGACTCTAGCAAATACCTCTGCCTGGTTAATGCAAAAATAACTTCCAAGCTCTATCAGTTCTACAATTAGTGTTCTTGTAGATCTAGTAAGGATCATTGCATGTTGTTTCTGTGTTATACAAATGAAGGAAATCTAAACTATAAACTTTACTCTAGCTTGAACCTTGCTTTTACCAAACATTTGGTAGTGTAAACAAACTTTGGTCTATTAGCCTATAAGGCCAGAAAATAGACCCACTGCAATCGTTGAGCAGACAAGCCTTGCGGCAATGTAACCATGCATGCACGCAGTGTCAACTACCTTGGCCTAGTTCGTGCAAGCCAAGGTTCGCATTGTAAACATGGCTTATCTCACCTCTCTAGTGTTTCAAAATAGAGAAATGCGCTTTAAGTATATCTTTTACAATAATAAACAATACACTCTAAGTGAGATTAATACTATAGGTCAACAAAATAGTACAGGGGTAAAATAATAAATATAACCTTAATTAGAATAGAAGAGGACCGATTAAAAATTGCATGCGCTAATGATAATAATCATTATATTATTAATTTCCTTGCGAAAGAAATCGTTGACACGTTATACGCGTATACTGAAGCAATTTCAATAGATTAGATGCAAATATGCTTTACGCAATGCAAAGTATGTTGCGAGCAGAGACATGTCTTATTTTAAGCTTCTTTCAAACCCGGACAACATGTTGATCCAACATTATTCCGCATTGTTGGACCACAGTTAATAGAAGGAGACTCCTTCTATTAACTGTGGTTGGACGCAGCATTTGTTGGCTTGATCACTTATATAGTTGGGTCATGTTTGACTGTCTATGTGTACAGTTTTCATTTAACATTATCCAACATCGCCTATCATTGTTGGACTCGAGTTCAACATCAGTGAAATGAGTTAAACATCATCCATCATGCATTGCCATTGTTGGTCGACCAGCGATGTTGGATGAAAATTTTAAACAAACCCAATCCAACAGATCTTCCAGCATCAGTCATGATGAACCTCTCATGAACATTACCCACCATATAGTGTTTAAAAGAGGGGAATAATGCTGATACATGACTACAATGCATGATGGAACATTTTGGACCAACATGTTGCCTGTTGAACACTTGAACTCGTTTAAACCTAGGCCTTTACTTTAGTTTAGTTTAGTTTAAAATGATATTTTGCTGGAAATTATACTATCTAATATATGGGTAGGGTTTTCACTGCAGAGCACTGTCATGCATGAAGCAGATGGTGGTCAAGTGAGAAAATATACTGTTAATTCTCGTCATTATATGTAGAAGCCAGTCTTGTTCCCAATAGCCATACGCCCATAGTTTAATTTGCTCTACCCCTAAAGTGTCAACAGTTCTGAAGTGCGATAGTTTTTTGTAGGTTTGGATGGCGATAATAAGATAACTGATGGCTCGGGCTTTGAAAGCTTTGCAATAATACATGCGGTTTTTCCACAAACGAAAACTTGTAGTTTGGAAGTTGATCATGCAGTTGCCGGCAGCTATCTAACGCGTTACACTCGCAAACCATACAGCAATGAAATCGTACCATTTCAGTTTAAACTTAGACCACGTCTCAATCAGTCAGTTAGATTAATAGTCATTTTTTCTGCACTTCAGTTTAGCATGATAATCCCACTTTACCTTTGATGTTAAAATCTATCAATATAACGAGTGCCGCGTCTGGCTGAAATATATCGCGTCCATTTCATCTTCCTGTGTGCGAGTATATTTATAGTCAGACTCGTGCATGTGCAGTAAGTGCACGTGCAGTAACTCACGTTTCAGTAGTCAAAACCTTCAATTGAGATTTTAAGACCTAAACTGAACTCTCTCTAACTTAATGGTTTTTAAGACAAAATTAAACTGTCTCTAACCTAATGGCTTTTAAGACAAAACTAAACTGTCTCTAACTTAATGGCTCTATACCATTTTCCATAAAAGACCCGTAAAGGTCAACCCCTATTGTATGTGCATACAGTATATGCATGATTACAGTGAACACACTATAAATAATTAACCTAACTTTATATATAATGGGTAGCTCTATTATATCATTTCTATTCCATATAGAGGTCTTGTAGTGAACCAATAAACGATGCGAGCTGCATGCCCTTATACTTATAGCTATTAATATAGCGCTCGAATTTGGTAAAGTAATAGCAATATGTTTCCTAAGACTTAAGATTCCTTATATAGAAGCGCAAGATATTTCCGCAACGTGAAAGGAATATCAAAATAGGTATATAAATAGTAACAAGAATGGTTTAAGGCGAATTCTGCAACTGGCAAGATTTCGTCCTATACGAAACTCGAAAGTTTCGAGTTCATCTTCGAAACGAAGAAGACATGCATGGCTTTTCTGAAAACACAAAATGAAATGCAAGGCAGTTTGGAACGAACTCTATACAGTACAGTCTCTACACAAATGGGGCTCTACCATGCAATGTTCTTAAAGTGCATTAAATCCCAGTGACTATATAATGTTTTGCTTTTCGCATGCCTTCAGAGGTGTCTATAGTAACTATAGAAATAAATTTTTCAGCAAACGATTCGACTCCATGGACACCCGAACGGACTATAGTGATAATGTTTAAAGAAACTGTCAAGAATCAGGCCAGAGTTCTACCAAACTCATTAAAAGTAAGTTAAAGCTAGCGAAGAAGACTTGTTCATCTCAGTATAGTATTGGAACAGTACTATAGAATTAAGTCGCTCGTGAAAGCAGGGGGAAACTGGTCAAAAATCAAGCCAGCACTTTAATAAAGTATAGCAAATCTAAAGAAAGTTTTGCTTCATGTGCTCAGCATTGTTGGATCAGTAACTATTAAGGATTCACTTCAACTAGTGAATAACGAAAGCAATTAATTAATATACTCGTATAAAAAAGTGATTTATAATCACTCTACCTTCATTCTCCATCCATCATCGGGGTGAGCTTCCTGGACATAAATCATCACAAAATCAGCGATGTCTGCAAACTCTTTGTGAACGTCCAACATCTGGTCCAATTTAGCAATGATCACGGGACACGTACAACTGCCAAAGACGACCACCAAAGGACGGGAACTTTTTACCAAGTCCAACAGACGCACTTCGGTCTGGCCCTTTTCTCCCGCAGCCAAAGGCGGATTTGGTGCAACTCGACCGACTTTTGAAGATTTATTAAGTTCGTATTTGCCATACTTCCATAGAGTTTGGATGAGACTCCAAGTGAATAACGTGTCCCAGTAGTTGTCTATGGGCATCACGATTGACGCTTTTCTGTTCATCCTTTTTATGATCATTCGTTTGAAACATGGAATGTGTTTCACGATGTTGCCGACGAGGTAGAGAAGGCATAGCTCGATGAAAAGGAGTGTTAGGGAAAGTAGTCGACAGGCCATAGTGATCGCTCGATAGTTGAGACTTTAGAGGCGATGAGATTTCAGTAGAGATTTTGTTGAGAGTTTTAAAATTGACGTTTCAATGCAGTCACAGTAGCTTGACGGGGCCTTCTCGGTTCCGTATCAATGCTTTGAGCTTGCGCTTTGATGATTCAGTTCAGACTACTTCAACTGGATTTTTACAGTATAACCGATCTGTTCCGATGGTTATATACTTCAGTATAACAGACACTCAGTTTTTGTTGAATCACTTGAAGATTTGAGAGTTTAATTACTTCAGTCTGGAGTGTATTTGCAAGATTACGAGTTTTGACCACGCTCTTCACACAGACCGAGTCAGGATTTATAGTTCTGATGCTTGCGCGTCGGGTTTACCAGTCAGTTCAGTGACTTCGAGACTTCAATCTTCGATTCTCAAGTCCTGAGTATTATAGCAATATCAGTACGAGATCAACTCTGCAGTATGCTTGGGCTCCAATATGGCAGCTCTATTAATTGTTCAATGGTATTTAAGACTTCGCTACTGTTAGTCTTCAAGTCTTTAGTGTATTACCAATGCTATATGCGAGATCTCTGGTTTAATCCAGATCGTTCACATCCAACGCTTGCGCTCTGATATGATATGACAGTCCTATATTATATACGTAATAGGCGTGCAACGATCGTTCAATCAATGACTTGTGATTTCCAACTTTCTTCTGTCTTGCGTGACTTCAGTGTATCTATACCAATAGTGTATTCGAGGTCTTCACGCCACTACAGCACAATCACATCTACTGCTCACTCGCCGTTACTACAACCCTATATATGCATGAATTAAGACCGCCTCCGCGCGCGTGCATGCATGGCATGACCAGTATATTTTCAATCGTTCAACTCACTGTTTACCTTGCCCTCAAACACAAAACCCTGTGTGACCTTGGGTCATTTTTTTAGAAAACTAGATCACGCTATCTGTAAAACGTAATGTTTGGCGTCGTTGTCAATCAGCGAATGTTCTGACCTTGTATACATTCGTAAGCGGAGCGCTACGGTGAAGTTTTCGTGGAGAGATGTCCTCCGTATATGGAAAATTGGATATTTATAATGTCGTGACTGCTTTACGGAAGTGCGAACGCACTTCAGACTATATCTTCGTCTCATCACGCGAGCCTATATCAACGATGCTCGCTGATATAGTGTTGCGATATGTCATTGAGATGCCGGTTTTTGGATTCAAATATACTATAATAGTTAAATAGAATATATTTGAGTTATTGGTAAACTATGTGGACTACGGTTTTGGGTAATCTGGTGGTCTGAGATTTCCGCTTTGCCATTGATGTATGCTTATTCAATTATATGAAGTAAAATTATATTATACCTAAGAGACTGATAATGCGATAGTGTAAATTGCGCGATCAGTCATTAAGTCATTATTGACTTCATTATATAGAGTAAAATTTTAAAAATTTTGGGTGATATAATATGATAGTGTAAGTTACGCGATCATTCATTGAGTCATTAATGATCTGTTGTTATTGGCGTAAATTGCGCGATCATTGAAATCATTCATCTGAAGTTAATGAATTCTTTGTATGTGGAGTAAAGTTTAACACGTTTCGGTTTAGGAAAACTATTCTATGAATTGTTGGGTCACGAAGTTCAGCCCAGGATGGAATTTGAGCTCGGGGGGTTTGTACGGAAATTTGGAAAGATAAATGACATATTTATCGCAAACGATGAGTGCAGATATTAAGTACGGCGTATCTTAAATCTAGGTTGTAATCAGTTGAAATAAAGGTCCTTTGCGGACCTTAATTATTATTCAGGCTATTCTAAACTAAAAGCTGGTCTACATTGTCAAAGGTTTTGTGATCACAGTAGGAATTTAAATCTTTGAGGATTTGTAAGAAATGTTTGAAGGAACTGACACACAATGTTTAAAAACACTGAGTCGGGTTCCCCTCAAACAATTTTTACAAATCCTTCAATTTTCCCATGCGAAATTCCTACTGTGATCCCAGAGACTTTGATAGTGTAAACAGGCCTAATACAACAAAGTAAGTTATTTTGATCATATTAATCTTTTGCAAGACTCTGTAAATCGTTGCGCGCATTATCTGTTAGACTATGTAATTAGGTACCTACTAGTATTTTCTGCGTCTATATTGCGGATTTCCTGATAAGACTCATCATGGTAGGCTGATGCTCTTGGGATGCTTATAGTTATATCTTAACGCACGAACTATATTCTCTCACCAACTTTCGAACGTAAGCACTATTCGACTAAATACTGAAACAGGTAACACATACAACCTCAGAAATACAGAAACTGATTGACACTTTCTAAGCCGAAGAAAGAATTTGGCAAAAGGTGCATCGGCTACAATGGTGTCGTATTTTGGAACAATCTTCCTTATGAGGCAAAAATCACTGCAACCATGCATAAGCTCATTTAAAACGATTCTGAAACAAACGATGAGATGAAGCCGGCTTGTTGTGTCATGCAGAGAGGATACCCTTGTAATGTTCCTGTCATGTTTTGTATTGTAATTTTACACGCCCCTCGTAAAAATCAGATGATAGTTGTTGGGGCTAGCGTGTTAAAATAAAGTATATGTATGTATTTTATTTATGATTAAGACGAAACGCTGCATTTTCCAATATGAAGTTATAGCCAGTGAGTTGTCGCTCTTGCGTTACATGCGTTAAGATTCATATTTATGCGCAGTTATTATTAAGTAAAATCATGACTTACGCCTGTATTCTGAAAGCACACTCAAAGAGTGGACGTTCAATCTCAGTGAGTGTCAATGCCGTTTTTGAATAGCTGGAGGGTGAGTATAGTACATAGTAAGGTACGACACTAACCCTCCAGCTATTCAAAAACAGCATTGACACTCAAGGGATTAAGCTCAGATTGAACCTCCACTCTTTGAGTGTGCGTGAGCTTTTAGAATACAGGCGTTAAAGTCACACGAGAATCGTACGAAAATTTACGAAAGCCTCGGATTGATAGAGATGCAACTTCCTAAAAAATGCAAGGAAGAAGTTCTCCTTGTATTTTGCAAGGAAGAAGTTCTCCTTGTATTTTGCAAGGAAGAAGTTACCCTTGTATTTTGCAAGGAAGAAGTTATCCTTGTATTTTGCAAGGAAGAAGTTATCCTTGTATTTTGCAAGGAAGAAGTTATCCTTGTATTTTGCAAGGAAGAAGTTCTCCTTGTATTTTGCAAGTAGTTGCATCGCTACTCATACAATGCCAATGGTGCAGACCGCGCGTATACCAAAATGTACACATCTCATAATGTCATAATCGTCATGTTCCGGTGACTTAATCCCAGCTTTAATATAATATAATATATACTTCTTTAAATTAATTTTTTAATAATCCTCATGGAATTAACCTTGTAGCCCGCTGCGGAAAATTATTCATTGATCGCTTTCATTCAACACCATATCGCGTGCAGCAGATGGTCAATTAGGATTTTGGGGAATTGTATAGATGGATATTTCGAATGGAATTTTCTAGGCTATATATATTTATTACACCTAACTTTAGGGGCAGTTGCGAAAAATGCAACGTTTGGCCCTGTGACAGGAATCGAACTTGCTGCCCTGCGATTCCTCTAACCTGCAATGGACCATTCCCCAATTAACCAAAATTTTGATCTCAACAAGTCTAGACAAAATTCCATCATAGCATGAAAGAGCATCACAAAATTAGTAATATTCCAAAGTTTCGTTGCGAAATGTTGTAAAATGCGGATAATATAGCCTTGCGAAATTTTCAATTTTCAGTCATTTTAGATTACAAATGGGAAATGGTTACCACTTTCCAAAATTTTGATCTTAACTAACCTCAACAAAAATTTCATCACAGCTTGAAAGAGCATCACAAAACATTAGTAATATTCCAAAGTTTCGTTGCGAAATGTTGTAAAATGCGGATAATATAGCCTTGCGAAATTTTCAATTTTCAGTCATTTTAGATTACAAATGGGAAATGGTTACCACTTTCCAAAATTTTGATCTTAACTAACCTCGACAAAAATTTCATCACAGCTTGAAAGAGCATCACAAAACATTAGTAATATTCCAAAGTTTCGTTGCAAAATGTTGTAAAATGTGGATAATATAGCCTTGGGAAGTTTGTAATTTTCAGTCATTTTGTATTACGCACAGAGGTGGTAACCATTTCCCGTTTGTAATCTAAAATAACTGAAAATTGCAAATTTCGCAAGGCTATATTATCCACATTTTACAACATTTTGCAACGAAACTTTGGAATATTACTAATTTTGTGATGCTCTTTCAAGCTGTGATGAAATTTTTGTCTGGACTTGTTGAGTTCAAAATTTTGGTTAATTGGGGAATGGTCCATTGAGCTACATATAGTTGTCGAGCTCTAAACACAAGTGCATGTATAAATACTAAGGTGACGTCAATGTAAGATGTATGGGTAAATGTCAGAATTTTGGTCATTTCACTCAATATAAGTAATTGTTGAAGAGGACTTGTAAATGCAAATTCCAAGTGCAATTTTTTACACATTAGCCCAACCCAGTGGTAGGCAATTAACCCTGCAGTTATGAGAGTGGAAAAATCATGTTAATTATTTTCATTACATGTAGTGTTCTTGTATTTCGTAATCCTCATAGAATGAAAGTTTGAACTCTTAGCGGTCACGCGGTGAATTGTTTTATTCCCGCTGAAGCACGCTGCGTTTTGTAAGCAGGAGACCAATGTGGGAAATTTCATCATAAATTTTGCCTTGCGCACCGGGATGAGAGCCGAGCAACGAAAACAAACGCCAGTTGATGGCCATTGTTTAAGTTTGAACTTCATTCACAAGGCCGTAGCATGTAAAACACTCTCGACACGATATCATCGTGCCTCTGCTGAGATTAATGTGACGGTTAAATGAAAGGCATGAAATCTAATCGAAGATCGCAGACTCTTTTGTTTTGTAATTGTATATTGTCTCTAAATGTACGCCTCAATTTCATATAGATCCTTTTTATATGCTAAAATTGCATTGACATTCATTAATCTTTTAAGATGATGCTATTGACCTGGCATATGGCTTTTCCCTGCAATCCATACCAATGCTGGTAACTCACGATATTGTGGTTATCCTCTTCAGATGATGTAACCTTTTTACAACTACATCGAGGAATATAGGAGGATATATAGAGTTGACACTAACATATGGGCATGCAGTGTCGCAACAGTTTTTAATCTGGGGTCGTAGTCCTACATGGTTTTGGACTTTATCGGTGTATGCTGATTGGCGGTGTAGAGATTGTAGAATAATCCTAGAGCATTCCCAAGCAAAGATATGCCTTGGCATTGTCCAAAACGTCGTACTATGCTGTATACTCTCTTTTATAAGATGCACTGCGTGCCGACATTTTGGAACAATGAGATACCAGTATATGCGTGTCTGCGTTTTGTTTTAATATTTGCATTTTGTATTTTGCGCAATACCTGTTTGTCAGTGTAATTAAGGATAAGCCTACATGCAATCCTTAAGGATAAGCCAATGCATGATGACGGGATTTCTAGGCTCATAGCTAGGTATACTATTAAAGTGTTCCCATTTAAGACAGGTGAATTGGATACAGTTTTAACTACTATTTAACTGTTACGATGTATTTCTCTTGATGTGATTTGAATCAGGGCGGTAGTATTTCATGTCTGAGCCTAGCTGACTTTGTGCCACCATTAGGACAATATGTTCCATATATTATTAGTATATGGTTTACACTATCAAAGTTTCTGTGATCACAGTAGGAATTTTGCATGCGCAAATTCTGTAAAGTTTTGAAGGATTTGTAAGAAATGTTTGAGGAAACTGACTAGTTGTTTAACACTGAGTCAGTTCTATCAAACATTTCTTACAAATCCTTCAAAACTTAAAATTTACCGCTGCAAAATTCCTACTGTGATCCCAGAAACTTTGATATAGTGTAAACCAGCCTTCAGTAGACTTAGTAAAACCCAATATCGTTTTCGGTTAACATCATTCATCGGTCAATGTTGATTTATAATCATACATATATGAAATGTTGTAAATAGACAATAGATATACTCCCTAATTTTTGTAAATTTTATGAGGGCCACAAGTTCATTAGTACTTCGTACTATTAAGTGTCACCCTCTTTAAATAAAGTCTCTATCTATCTATCAAATTGAGTCGGGTTCAGATTTGAGCCTGGCCATTGAGAGATAGATAAAACTTTATTTTAAGAGGGTAGCCTGGTAAGCGTTATGCTTATCTTCAAATGTCGGGCCTTGAAAAAATCCTTACTTAAGCGCAACTTATTCACTAAAATATTTCAGAGCAAGAACATCGCATTTAGAGAGAACAAAGACCTAAGCACATTACGCTCAATTTTGCAAGATTTTTGCTATATACCCGTACCATGTCGTCATATCCTTGCTCTTGGACTACCTATGTTTACAAAGGCCGAGCATGGCCATAAATTTGGTGTGCGGGTGCCAGTTTAATCCGTGCCGTGCTAAAAATTGGGCGTATGGTGTACAAACAGGGCTTCATGAGAGTTCCATGTATGGTCTTGCTTTTCCCGTTTTGCCTGCGTGCAGCCAGTTTGTATTTAAAACACAGCATGACGGAAAAATAATTAGTATCACGACTGAGCTGAGGTCGTCTTGTTTATCATCTTCCCATATGTTTATTTTCACACGACGTTGTGTCCTGTTACCTACTGACAAAACAGCGCTTGTTGACAAGGCAGAAAATACGAGAGAAAAAATTGAAAAACAACCCTTGGTGTGAAAGTGGTTGTGAGTAAACTAAAACGTGTAAATCAAATGTACAAAATTTACATTCGACATTTACAAAAAACTGTGCCATCAACATTTAGTTATATCTAGTGAGATGTCCAAAATCTTGATATCTGGCCATATATATATATATACACATGAATACTAGATTCCCCTTATTACGTTTTCGTAGCGCTTTGCATTGTGGTTATAGTGGTATCACTGATATTCAAGATGGCTTATTTTTTGTCCTGACCCGTGCAAGGACTTTTAATAAAAGCTAGGGTCAGGTGCGCGATAGCCAACAGCAAAATATTCGCGAAAACATTCAATATTTTCATTCGAGACCGCTATCTTTATCAGTGATACCACTATAACCACAATGCAAAGCGTTACGAAAACGTAATAAGGGGAATCATGAACTTGCGGTTGAAGCTCGACGGCTGGACTCTGCAGCTCGTTTGGTTAGACCGCTGCACGGAATCGCTGGTTCGGTTTCTGTCAGAGTGCCTAGAGTTCATCGCCACTGCTCTTGGTTAGATCTAGGGGTGCTCATCGACCCATGGTCATGATTCGAATGCGACCATTGACCAAATTCATAATCTTTTGGACAGTCTGTAGAATGGGCGAAATATTGCCCCCGGAAGGGTTCAGGTATTCTGGAATGGCGACAGGATATTTACATGTTTCCAAATTGATAAAAATGATTTGACAATGAAATTGGTACCCCACCCACCCCCTCCCTCCCTTTGCCAAGGGTGTGTCGTAAAGGGCAGGGAAGGTCAAGGACATAACATACACGCACATTCGCAACGAGTTTAACTGCTCTCCCCACAGGTCCAATAAAGGTCACGTGCGACGCAGGCGATATTATATCTAGAAAAGTGGAAATTGCACCTCTTTATCGCCAATACCCTCAAACACACCTTTGCTTTTTTTGTACGGCTGTCATGGGAATGTCGAACTATGAACTTCTAGACTCACTCTTGCTACACAAAACTGTCGAGAGTACATCTCAAGCACCCTTTCGACAGATTGTGGGAATCATGCACCTTCCAAGGTCAATGTGTTTGCATCTATAATTTGAACAAACCCAGTTAATTGTAACTTAATACTGCAAAGATCTTGCGAAAAAGCTATAGTTTTACTAACATCGATCCATGTGGATCCACTAATTATTACACTGAGGCCGATAATTAGGAATTTCCCGTAAAACTGTGCGGGCCCAGATCCAATACATTTCGTGCAGCAATTGCGGGAATGTCAATAAGGCGGTCCTATACACAAGCCCCATACAGGGACAGAACCTTTAATCAGTTATTGCCGATGAGACAATCATCACACGACGGAGATTTTGATAAAGAGATAAAGACAATCGCGTGCATGAGCAAACTTCCAGTATTTAATATGAAAAAATATTGTTTCAGCACCCTGTTTGTTATTCCGTGCCCTAACTAACCTTTCGTCGAAAATTACTCAACTCTACCATTTGAGGTTCGGAGTTTGGAAAAGTACTTTTATAAAGAAAAGATGACAATAAAATCTGACTTGTCGAAGAAAGTCAAAAATTTTATATAAAAATCTCCTGATGAATTGAGGTTATTTGGCAATATTTGCTTTTGTGGATTTGATTCTTGCATAATATTCTAATTAGGATTCAGCTGCTAAGGATTGCGTGTTTATTAATTGAACAGCTCATTGGTTTAATTATAGCACCAGATTGGATGCTATGAGACAAAACCCTGAGGTTACCATCGCAGACATACTGAACTTTACTAATAAACTAAACTAACTTTATCAGGGTCCGAAATAACTACCTGTCAATTTCAGGCGATTTTCACAAAAGATATATAGGTGTAAAAACTGCCTACTTGTCGTCTGAGACAGGTCGAGACCTAAACAAATTTCTTATTACTGTAAGAAAACTAAATGTTAGTTGCTTCCTAGTACAAACGGCCTTACAAGAAGTAGGATTTAAATGCTTGATGCATTGGGAATGAAGAAATATGTGACAGACCCTATCCCCCCTTTTTATTCTCGGCATGGTCTGGCTTCTGTATAGCTTCGAATGTACATTAATCATTATAAAGATTGTATAGTTTGAATATATAATGAAGTAGATGGCAGCACAGAATACTGTAGACAGAATACACACACTGACCTAGCTATCACCATGGGAAAAAGCTCAGAATTTCAATTAAAAGGCTCAGTATTTCAAAGCTCAGAATTTCAAAGCTCAGAATTTAAGATTACGTGTTGTAACTGGTATATAGCAATGTTCCATTCGATAAAAGAATTTGTCAACATTGCGATTTAAACGAAGTGGAACCAAACAGCAATAATACAAGGATTACTCGGATCTCAGAGCGGATTTTATCAAAATGCTTAACCAAATAAATCACTCGTTTCGTTCATTTAATAATCATGACTTGTTTATGTATGTTATTGCAATTAAATACAAATCTGTGGCGACATTGGTAGCCAAGTATTGCTGCAATGTCCTAACAAATTTTGATCAATTATAATCTATATAGTATAATTCTAATTTTTGATCAAGTATAATTCTAATTTTTAATATGTTTTGTGTCAGTATTGGTACTTCTGTTTGAATAAAGTTTGTTTGTTTGTTACCATGGAGAGGTAAAAAAATTAGGAACATTTCAAATCCTGCATTCTTCAAGACGTCGCCGTCTATTATTGGGGTCTAATAAGAGCCGTCTATTCTTGGGGTCTATAGTTTTATATCACTGCTGTAGGAGGAGACCTTAATTAACTTTATTTCTACTGGATAGCTCTATACTGTTCTCCCTAAAGCTACAGTATTAGAGCCATACGTGGCACTGTTACTGAACACAGTCACAGGAGGAAACTGGAGGTCAAACGAGGCTGAGAGTCCATGATGAGATTTGTCACGCATTTTTACAGGGGGCATTTCAAGCCCTAGATATTACTGATTACCAAAAAAAATGACGAGTGTTCCAACTATGTTTTAAAAAGCCTGGTTCACACTAGAAATTTGTCGGCGATTCTCTCTTCCTGACAGATGCGAATGAATGAACTTGCAGCCGAAACTATCGAATCACTTTTTGGGTGTACTAAAGTCTTTTGGATGTCGGTCACATCTGAGGGAAAAAATCGCCGACAAAATTGCTAATGTGAACTAGCTTAACTTAAATAGAATAGGCATGATAGTGTTGGGAAAGTATTAAGAACAGCCGACCAAGGTCGCGTGACTGTCAATCCTTATCCTTGTTTGATCTGGGCATAACTACCATACCACTATGCAACACCCTTACGGAAGCGTCCGTATAGTAATCTGAATCGAAGCTCTCATTGTATATAATTGATCGTTCCACTAGACGTCTCAACAATGATTTATTGTCTCGTGCATTGTACATTGTTTTCGCTAAGCAATTCGACGGTAAACACAACGGACTCTCATCAGCACGATTCCTGCGAATTTGGCTGGCGGTGGTGTGTAAATACTATGCATAGCGTGACCTGGGCAGCCTGCTGGAACAGCCCAGTCACGATATCACGCGATGAACAAAAACCTCATTTCTCAATTTCTAAAACACTCCAAACCTCTTCCATAGCAAAATTTCCACTATTTATTCATTTTCCAGCCCATTTCGATCGTTGGTTAAAATTTCAGCTCAAATCTTCAACCCGACTAAAAATAGTGCAATGATCAGTTGCATCCAACCGAGCTAGCTTGCGCCACCATTTAAGGAAACATTTAGTGGTTATGTATTATGTTCTATTTTATATATTGAACTATGGAATATTGCTGGTGGGGTTTTTTGCTAATTTTAGATCAATTACTAATGGAGAGAGGGATTTTCCTGTCAAGTATTCACATATTGCTTTATATATTATTTTATACTGACCGGCGACTCTTGCAGAGTATGTATAAAGTTACCGAATTTCACAGCCGCATCGACTGTTAACGTTACAATAATATATTTGAAAGCGTGCGTTGCAAACGTCCTAATTGCAGATCGAATTACTATGCATGGTACAATTACATGCTGCATGAAAGCTGGGATATTTTGAGATGCTCTGTAATAAGTCTGGTGACAACAACATCGAGGGTATATCAAAAGTTACTGAGTGATTAACAACA